AAAAATCGGTCGTCGGGTAGTTTTCAAACTCAAATTCAAATTTCTTTATTAGACCCTATTAAGTTTTACAGATTAGTAATATAATAATTATTCTTAATAAATATGTGTCTAAAGGGATCGCACCGCGACTAAAAAACCGATACAAAGGCACAAAGTGCCAGAGTGGTGCGACCCCAAAAACAAAATAGAATAAATTAAATTATAAAAATAAACAGAATTAAAAAAAAATTATGAGCGGAGATAAGCAGAGAGGCATAACGAAACAGTGTAAAAAGCGGAACAGCAACCAATGACGGGCATATCAGAAGAACAAGAAATCTCACAAATCAGTCGATGAAATTATAATTTTTACGAATTTAGTAAATTATTTTTAATTTGTTTTTTATAATCTGTAAAGAATTGAAATTTAAAGTTATTAGAAATATTAGCTTCGTTCGGGTTCTTGTTATTACCGATTCTGAACCGTTCTAGAACTGTGATGTGTCTGCGCAGAAGGAAATATGAAGACATTATTTCATTTGCGCATGCACTGCTATACCCGAAAAAACTATTAGCTTTTTTCGGGTTCTTGTTATTACCGATTCTGAACCCTCCTAGAACTCTGCAGCGCATGCGCAATTGAAATAATGTCTTCATATTTCCTTCTGCGCAGACACATCATAGTTCTAGGACGGTTCAGAATCGGTAATAACAAGAACCCGAACAAAGCTATTATTCCACAAATGTGGCGCTATGAAACTGAATGATTTTTGGAAGTTAGCTGTCCGGTGTTGAGGAATTTTAAAATAATGCACTGGCCTAGTCGAATGATCATGGTCAACGTAGCGAAACAATGAGAACAAATAGGGAGGCTGCTCTGTAGTTAAAATTCGATAAATAGGTGTCATTAAATGAAATTGTCGTCTGTTAGTCATGGATAAAATATATAAATTTTTAAGATGTGGCGTTATATGATCTCTAAAAGGAATGTTAAAAGAAAACCGTAGACACGTGGTTTGAAGTATTTGGATTTTTCTAGAGAATCTAGCCGTTTATGGATGTACCATAAACAACATCGCCGTAATCAAATAAAGGTAAAATAAGTGTGTCACATAATTGATACTTAGCCTTTGATGGTATATATTTCTTAAGAGACGAAAAATTCTTCAAACGTATATAAGCAGCCTTTAATTTAGTAGTTATATGTGCCTGAAAAGATAGCCTCGCATCAGAAAAGACTCCAAGATTTTTAGTCTCTGTAACAATGGGTATCGCAACATTATCTATATATATTCATGTTACCAGCCGTATTTGTAATTTTGTTTATATCACTACCAAATACCTACTATAACACAAGATTTACCGGCATTTAATTTCACATTATGATCCAGAGCATATTTATTAATTTTATTCAGATAGTCGTTAAAATTTAACTGAAATTGTGCCAAATTATTAATATCTATTTTGCAATAAATTTGAGAATCATCTGCATAGAAAAATGCATTTTAGAAAACTGTACTTCTTTATCCATGTCAGCTACATATAACGAAAATAAAAGTGGTCCCAGAATAGATCCCTGAGGAACCCCAGAAATCATAAGAATATAACTAGATGTTTGTTTTAAGCGGAGAACACATATACCTGATAGCGAGCGAATCGCTGTCGCGATCAATTCAGAAGGAAGTGAGCATATACAGGCGATATTTTATTTTGAATCGCAGTGTAATTAGTGCGTAAAAAAGTGTCTCGATAGATCGATTATTGGAAGAAGAGGCACTGCTCCTTGCAATATTATTAGATAACGAAGAAAAATGCAATAAATGGTAAAAAAACTTTATTTTTTATTCGCGCATTTTCTTGATTTGTTCTAATATCATTAACCAGCTTCAGTAAATAAATGGTAGTGCTGTACTTCTTAAAACCAGATTGGCATTCAGGTATTAGTTTATTTGAATCTACAAATGAAACAATTTGATTATGTAGATGTTTTTCTATAATTTTAGAAATTGCTGGCAAAATACTCACGGGTCTTGGATCGTTGTTATTTAAAGGTTTGAAAATTTTACAGAGAGGTGTTATAATAGCTTTTTTCTATATTTCGGGATAGACATTGTCTAAAATAGAAGTATTAATTATATTTATTACCCCTTTACCACAGTAAGGCATGCACAGCTTTAGTGCTTTAATTGATAAATCATCTTCACCGATAGCATTAGACCGAATAGAATTTAATATTTAATGTAACGATATCTCATCTATTAGTTTGAAATTTAGAACATTATTCCCTATTTTTTCAGGCTTATTTTGTCTATAAAAATCTATTATTTTATTTGATGTAGTATTAATGCAATTCTGAGAGTACGAAAAAAAAATATTAAGCTTGTCTACATCCACATCAGTTTTCACCCTTCTTGTATTTTTTCTTGACTTTTGTGAAAGTCAAATGTTAAAGAACTTAGCAAAACATAGACATTAAAAAATCATTCAAATCGGGATAACGGTTCTTAAAATATCAGAAAAAATGTGTTTTTTTTTTAAACTTCTCTAACGGACAAACGCAGCATTTTTGTATAGAGATAAATTGTGTCCAATGAACTTATTTTGATTCCAGAAATACGTAGTAGTTTTATGTCCACGGAATATTGGGACACCCTGTCTATCCGATAGTTTTAAATAGTTATTACCTATTATGCATAAACGCTAAAAATAATCTGTGTTTTACATTATAATTAATAAGTTTTATAATTTTAATGTTTTTAAATTGTCAAAAAAAATTGAAAAATATGCCTACCCTCCTCCTATTTTTTTTACTGGTTATTGCTTCTCTTCTATGTCTTTACAGGTTATTATACTTCGGCACAAACTTCGGTCTATACGATATACCAGGTGTTCTCAAAGGTGGCTCAACCCTACAACTTTTTTATGTTTTCAAATAAAAAACAAAATTTGGTATGTTAGTAGGTATATGACATAAATTAGGATTGATTAACGTATTCAATTGTGTTCGGTCAGTTCCTGTTTCCTGATTCACCGGAAATGACTATAACTTTTGACTTTTAAATGACACACTCAGTAGTTTTTTACCTCATTTGATAGAGAATAGCATTCTGAAAAAAATGACATATCATATGTCAACTTTTGACATTGAATTTCAATTGAGAGTACCATGGCTATAAATGTAGTGATAATTTGACTCGAAAGTGTCTGGTAATCAACCACTGTCGCCCTATTTAAAAAAAATGAGTTATAATTCAAAATAAATTTTGAGCATCTTTTAACCGACCAGAGCAAGACACGAAAAACATTAGACGATCAAATCTATTTTGCCAAGCCCTCTTGATTAAAAATTAGTGTTTTTAATACAGCCATGTCACTCTACAATATGTCCCCGGATTGTCTTTATAAGAGAAAAAACTTTTTTATTGTCGACATTTTCAGAAAAATTCATTCTTCATAAAAAAATCTGCTTGTTCTAAAATGGTTAATCTCGTTTATACTTTTCCAAATTTCCATACCATATGTCGCGTCCGAAGCTTTTATGTATATGGGTCCCCGTACTACAACCCGGGACCACGCCTGGACCATCCCATTTTTTCACTGATGAGGGAGTCGGGATATATCAGGGGAGATAATCGACGGGAACGAGCGTCACTATCGAGCAAGAAAAGAAGCGAAGAACGTGATCGCAATAACGCACACTTGAAATCAGTTATGTAAGAAATATTTGTTTATTTAGTATTTGGAAGCTCTTTCGAATAGTATGTCATAAAAAATTTGCTGTGGAAATCCATTTGTTGGTTCATTTTTGTTTATTTTCTTCGGTACGGTATTGATGTCTAAATTACAGTATGTACTAGGTTAAGTTCGTAGCTACACAAAAAAAGTGTTTAGAATGAAAAGCTGGATCTCGTTTTCATGTAACTGATTTTCGTTATTCTAATGTCGGAAAAAAGAGAATGATGCATTTCCGCCAAGAAATTTTGATGAAAAAATGATTTCAAATAAAAAAAACCTCACTCATATTTTTACTGTTTTAAATGTTAAAGAAGCACAAAATTTACTTAGTTCAAGGCTACGGAAATGATAATAGTTATCGGAAAATGTGATACATTAATAACAGCAAAAAATAGAGGACGTTAATCAAAACTAATGATAACTATCTATCAAAAAATGAAATCGAAATTATATTACATATTTTATTACATGTTCAGTTTCAATTTAAAAATAGATGCATTTTTGTTAAATTAGTAAAAATAAGTACAGGTTTTCTTAAATTATTTAAAAACGGCTTGTCCAAAATTGTTCAAATTTTGCATATGCTCAGCCATACGCAGACCTTTTAAAACCCCTATTTACAACTTTGCTATAAAATTAACAGGGCAGCCAATATTTGGACAGTTCAAAATTTGCATGGCTTCCAACGACGATACTGTTTCCATCCTGTTTCCAACGACGATACCAACCAACCACGATACCAAACCAAACCACCCGGTATTCAAACAATAATATACCTAAACCATTTCTTTTCGGACCCTATCGCCAGACACTAATTTCTGTTATCGATTTTTCTGGTATTAGTTCGAGGGATCAAAGTTTTCTATCGTTCTGTACAAAATCAATAAAGTGCTTATAAAACATGGTATATTATAGTACTTGCTTTTAAATAGAAATGGTAATAAAAATGGTATAAGGAAGTATTCGTGATATTCCGTGTGCAACCAATCAACCAAGCATTTAAAATATGTAGCGAAGGTATATGTCTATATACCGAACGTTCGCTTTCTGTCAATATTATCAATCACAATAACAAAAATAGCGACAGAACAATCGCTAAAATTGTTTAAAATTAAATATACATCTGGCCGGCTGACGGTGAAATAACTTTTAATTCATTGTCATGATTGGTGCAAACAAACAAAACCGTTAAATCGAAGGTGCGCCGACCACGTCGATTAAATAAACATTTATTTTTAGTTCATTAACAAATCGCTTATTTATTTATTTTTTTTCTTTTTTCTTACCTTCCCACAAAATTCTCCAATACTGAACTTTTTCCCGCACTTTGGCCCCCCACCACCGCTATTTGCGGCAAATCTAAAGTCAAATGAACGCCCAATCTCGTAAAAGCATCTTGTAATCTATTCACCACAGATATCAATTGTTCCATTCCAGAATTGCCCGACATTGTTATCACGCACTCACTATATTAATTTAATTTTTTATATAAAATAGGTCCCAGAAAAGCCTATATCGCTCTAAAACTCGTTTGCTCACTAAAAACCGAACTAACGTTTATGATGAATGATTCACTTATGATTTAATTGTTTTAAGTTGACTGCGCGTAAGTCGTACCGTACGTAACAAAAAGCAAATAAATATTCCTGAGTTTGCCCTAGCAATTCGATTGAATGATATCTTTTATCAGTCCAGTTGGATTTAAACTCGATTGATAAGATTTGTAGAAAAAGAATTAGGTTATTTGAATTATGACAAAAAAATATTATAGTTTATTTATGTTTAACTAGTTGCATACAGATGTATCATTTATATTTAAATTGTTCAACTAGCAAAAATTAAAAATATGAAAGCGTAAAATTATTGTACGGGATGTGTTGATATGTATGGCATTAAAAAGTGAATAAAATCGAATAAATGTACCATGATAATAGGTTGTTAACTTTCATTTATACGGGTTTGTAAAATATGTATGTGCATTTAGCAATATTTCGTAATATAATTTGTCCACCCGCACTCTTAACATTTATATTTTTATTTTTATTATAGGCGAACTAAAATAGAAAATAAGCACCATTACCTATAGGATATAATCCACACCTGTGGCAAAACAACCTATAACATGCGATAGATATACAGGGTTAGTCTTATACCGGGTGCGTCCCAAACGGGGCTCACCCCTATAACTTCTTTATTTTTTCAGATAAAACAACGAGATTTGGTATGTTGGTATACGACATAAATTGGGAGAGATTGACGTATTCAATTGTTTTCGGTCACTTCCGATTTTACCGGAAATGACTACAACCCTCGGTATTTTTTTACTTTATTCAATATAAAATGATATTCTGAATCGAATGACATATCATATGTCAACTTATGACATTTTCGCATATATGGTTTATTTGAAATTGTAACATGCGGTTCATAACGACAATTTGACTCGAAATACCAAGTATGTGTGGTATCAAATTATTCGTAAAAAAATGCTTTTTCCAAATATGCTAATGAGCCACCCTCGTTTCATTTGAAAAAATTGAGATATGATTAAAAATACGATCTGATACGAGCATCGTTTAACCGGCCAGGCCAAGATACTAAAAACATTATACGATCAAATTTATTTTTCTAAGGCTCCTTGATTAAAAATTAGTGTTTTTAACATAGCCATGGCACTCTAGATTGAAATTTAAAATACAATTTGTTTTTCAGTGACTACCTATGTCAAAAGTTGACGTATGATATGTCATTCGATTCAGAGTATCATTTTCTATTGAATAAAGTAAAAAAATACGGAGGGTGCCATTTAAAAATCGAAAGTTGTAGTCATTGTAGTCAAGTGACCTAAAACAATTGAATACGTCAATCAATCCCAATTTATGTCATATACTAACAAACCAAATCTCGTTGTTTTATCTGAAAAAATAAAAAAGTTAGAGGGGTGAGCCACTTTTGAGACGCACCCGGTATAAGTGTAAATATTTTAGGAGTAGTATACTTCGACCCCAGAAAACACAATTATGAGGTTTTTTTTCCAAAAAAAAATTGAAACTTTGGAATTTTTGAAAAGAAATTTGGAATTAGTTTAGTTTGAGATGATCCGCCTATTTAAAAATAGACATATTTCCTTATATTCAATCAAAACATTCAGTTTTTAAAACACTGTGTATACATAAATAAAATTATTGATTTTTAAAATATTATTCGCAAAACCGGAGAGAGGAAAATCAGACGACGAAAAGTGATAATAGATGTTAAGTAATAGCTTTTAGACTACCGTTCGAGACGCATTGATGTTATTTGTGGTTCGTAAATTTTGTGACAAAGAATGTTATTTATTAAAGGTAAAGTAAATGTGTTCTCATTATTTAACTTGTGTTAACTAAAGCATATAGCTTATTTGTCTGTTGTAATATTCTGTGCTAAAGATTTTTCTTATTTATTTCATCTGAGAATTATATCATATAACATGTGTATGTATTTAATGGAGACGACTATGCTCTGAAAAATTTCATTTTAAAAGTAATCTAAATACAATCGTTTACTGTCCATTCGTGCCGATGTTTATGGTTCAGTGTGACAATAAGCGGCCTTGTTCGATGTACTGACATTTTTCGACCGTGAATTGACGAATATCTTAGGTCACAAAAGAACAAACAATAAGAAAATAGAATAAGTCATAGAATAACTTATAACTTATAACTAAAGATATTTGCACGAAACCTTCAACCTTTAGCTTTGAGTTCCGCAACCAGGGCCTTAATACCTGCGGGTGGGGACTCGCTAACAGCACTTTCAGATGGAGCGGAAACTTCCGCGCGGACCGTCCGTCGTGTTTTTTCAAGATAGCCGTCGGACGAACTACGTCGGACGGAGCATACGCGACCCATGTGAAATTGTTACGTGGTGGACCATACATCCTGTACGTACGTCCTGTACCCAAACGATAGGAATCCAATCCAAGATGAGATATGAATTATTGTTTGGATTCCACTGGAGCGTCCGTGATAACCGTCTTTGCGGCCTGACCCATGCAGGCTTCCAAAAAAGCTCTATATTATGTTTTTGATTTGCCATTTCCATTGCAATTTTCTTACATAATATGAGGATAATGGAAAAGCATATTTTTTATTAATCAGCCTCAAAATTTCATTCCAGTCACTAAAAAAGTACTTGGAAGAAAATTATAATAAATCGAAAAAAAAAAATGAAGACTTTAACCCCTTGTCGCTACGAAACAAAACAGAATCGGACCTACATATGTTGATATAAAAAATATTTTTTTTTACGTGAGGAATCTCCCCACGAGAGATGGTACATGTTTTTGAAACACCCTGTATAGGAAAAAAATGTATACTTACAAAACAATATTTTTAAATAACCTCACATCGCTTGCATTTAATGATTAAGATAATAATTACATTAATTTAATTATTAATTACAATTCTCATAATTATTTTTTAAACCAAATGTGTTGTAAGCAATGAATCAATTCTCACGATTCTGTGAACGAACGCCAATGTTCAATTCTTTCGACCCTTTTTACGACTTCAAATTTTATGAATCCGTGCTGGTCACGATTCAATTGAACGAACCCTATTGTAAGCAATGCATCAAATCTCACGATTCTTTGAACGAACGAGCCGTAGAAACGAACGAGTCGTATTGTGATCGGATTCAATCCTTACACTCATTTTTACAACTCGTTCGTTTAAATTTTATGAATCCGTTCTGCTCACGATTCAGTTGAACGAACCGTATTGTAAACAATGCATCAAATCTCACGATTCTTTGAACGAACCAGTCGCAGTCCAATTCAATTCTTTCGACCCTTTTTACGACTCGTTCGTTCAAAATTCAATTGAACGAACCCTATTGTAAGCAATGCATCAAATCTCACGATTCTTTGAACGAACGAGCCGTAGAAACGAACGAGTCGTATTGTGATCGGATTCAATCCTTACACTCATTTTTACGACTAGTTCGTTCAAATTTTATGCATCCGTGCTGGCCACGATTCAATTGAACGAAGCGTATTCTAAAGGGGTGTCCAGACCGGATGAGCGAGCAGGAGCGAGCAAGAATTCGGGTATGTTCTATGGGAATGCTTAACTGGTGTGGACGGCTCTGCGAGCGAGGGAATGATTGCTTGCTCGCGCTCGTCGCTGTTCCACGCGCCGTGTCGGTACATCAAAGAAAATTCGCGCTATTGCACGTTCGGTTTGGACGGGATTTTGTTTACCACGTTTGCGATTGAATATCAAAAATGGAATGGCTGAATGAAGTTGTTTTAAAACTAATAGAGGAGTACAAAAATCGCCATGACCCGTAAGGTGAAATTGCTTTTCGGTAATTGGTATCACTTTTCATTATTTTTATGTCAATTAAATCTAATAAGGTATTAAAATCCGTAAGGGACATCCCACAAAAGTTCTTAAATTTTCGAGAATCTTCTGTTTCAACATCGTTTAGTAAATTGTTACCACCATGAGAAACTCGATTTTTAAAAACCATCTCCTCTGCAGTCATTTTCTCTTTTGATGTTTCAACAATTTATAAAATACAGTGAAAGACGCACAAGTAATATTTTTTCCGACATTATGAGCATGAAGTGTCACACACCGATCAACGCCGAATATACAAATAATCGCTAGGTCTGGACGGAAGCTGATCATGTGCTCGAGAGCAGCGGAAATCACGAGCGAATTTGAATAAATGTTTGCTTGCGCTCGTTACTGCTCGCTCATCTGGTCTGGACGCCCCTTACGCGATGAATCGAATCTCACGTTTCATTTTTATAAATAAACGACTCGTTCAATCTTTGTGCACCTCTTTTGACTCAACCAATTTTTGAACCCAAAAACCAAATATATAGAAATGAGGGTAATTCAGAATATTGTTGGTAATTTGGAATGCTCACATATTGAAGCTATGCGTGGCGCTATCTGTTTAAATATGGTATGTATAAACTAGTGGACAACAGATTTTGTACTCATATAAATTTATAACACAAAGCAAAAATATGTGAACAAATAATTTGGTTTGGTTTGGCGCGACAAAATCTTCTTTAGTGGAAATTAAATCGGTAATCGGCAATCACTGCCCTGATTTTTTATTTAAATTAACTTTAATTGGGTCTTCAGGTAAGTATAGGTTTATATTTTAATTTGTTAAATGTATTTTTTTCCATATATTAATGCATATATATTTTTTACAGATTACGGTGTAGATCTTAATGTTGCTAATTTGGAATACTACAACTGATGCAAATTTGGAATAGTCCAAATTATTTTCATCATGCTGCTTTTTTTCAGCAAACATGACGTTGTTATTTCTGCTTTTTTTTCATCAAACCAAACTGTAGCTCAACCTGTTTGATGGATTTTAACATATAAGGTGTCCGGTGTCGATAGATTTGTTTTAATCTGGTCTTAATTGTAGGAGAAATATAGGGCAACAGGATCAAAAATCACAAAACAACAACAAATAGTGGATCTATTGCAAGCTGAATTATTTCGACCTCCTCAAAACTCGCTCCAGAATTTGATTTAAATAGAGAGCCAGAAGAGTCTGCAGATTTATTCGGCTTCTTGTTATTTCCGATTCTGAAGCGTCATGCATTCAAACACTGCACTGCCGTCCTAACAGAAAACGCAGTAACTCCAAAAAAAGGATTTCGAGAAAAATAGGTTTTACTGTTTGTTTATTGTTAGTTACCTTTTTGATAAAAAATGATACTTTTTTTAAGGAATATTAAAATATAAGTATTTTTTTGTATATTTGCCTAATTTTTATCCTATTTAATGACTTTGGTAAAAAATAATTTAATTAAATGCATTTTAGCTTAGCAGTTCAATTATGTTTATTTAGTCATTACTAAATAATAATGCAGTAACTCAGGAATATTTGCCATTTTACTGCGTTTTTATCTAGTATTCTTTGATGTACCGCTATTACGATAAATGAGAAAAAAGGTCACTTTTTTAGCCTTTTTTGTAAAACTATACTATAATAATTTTAACTTTATTCCATAATTTGCTTTTTTAGTACCTTTATTTCCGGATTTCACTACTGGAAAGTTGAATAAATATGTATAACAATAAAAAATAAGCCCCAAACCACAGCTAATGTATGTACAGAAAAAATATATTATTATACATATGTATACTTAAATCGAAAAAGTAAATTTAATAAGTACTACATATTGCAATAACAATTAAAAATTATTCAAAAGAAGTTTTTAAATCACTGACGTTATCAGCAACATCGATGTCATTCCAAAACTGCCTTCTTTCTTCTGTCATAAGAGGGCATAATTTTTTTATTATGTCGTCGTTTTTTTCTTTACTTATTCCTCTCGGATTTGTTCGAGGAATTGGTTTCTGTATCCCGTCCCTTTCAGACTTAACCTTCAAAAACTTTAAAATTCTTGGAGTGGTTGAATCATAATTGGTAACATATTGTAACCAATTTTTCCCCGCTCTGCAAACACCATTGTTATTTCGGACAAATATGGTCGCAGATCCGTTTTTTTTTATTTTGGCTTGGGAACTATGATCAAGCCAGTCGTAGAAGTGTCCGATTTCCATTTCAATTACCGTTACTTTTCCCAAATTGGCATTTTGTACGGCATTACTAAAATCTTTAAAATCGCACACGCTACCCTTATATTGCATAGAAAGTTCCACCTGATGGTGGAAACTATCCGCGCTCATGTGCGTATGCCCGGGCTCGAAATATTTGACTCATATTTTCTTTGCTACTCCTTGTATGTCAGGACTGTTTACCATATAGATCAGAAAGGAAAAAAAACAATTTTTATTTTGAGCGGAACAGTTATCCAGCCATAACGTAATTTTTGCGAAATCCCGATTTTCCAAGAAGATGGAGTGGGAGGTACTTATATCTTCCTTTTTTCTTCCAGCAACACCTTCATACCAAACAGCAGCTACTGGTTTTACACCAACTTGTTTTTTCCCGACAGGAACGTTAAAAGCAATTATACGTGGTGTAAATAAGGCCACTTTATATTGGTCTTACCTGGGGAGCATAATGACCTTTTGCAAATCTGCCGAGTAGCAAATTCATCATTACTTCTTTCTTTTCAGCTTCTTCTCTATGCATTTTTCTTGATTCCGCAGCTTTTTTTATATGTACGCTGTAAGTTTTACACGTCTCACATTCCAGATCTATATTTCTTTCGAGTGACCATGATTTTCAAATACCGTGCAGCACTCACACTCCTCATGTCCGAGTTTTGTAAAGGATATAATTTTAGCCTTAACTGCTAATCTGTACAACTCGTAAGAGCACGTAAAGGTTGGATGTTTGCTCCGGAAATCTTTATACATTAATTCTAGCACAATAAAGTTACTGCATTTCAGGTTAAAAATATGTGACGTAGTTTTATGGTAATACAAATTATTTAAACAGTATATTTTAGAATACTACATTTCTCTTTAGGAGTTATGTTTGCTGCATTTCTCAATAGTAATTACATGACGTGTCAGAGTTACTGAAATTTAATTTTTCAAATTTTGGGGGAACATTTTTTTTTCGAAAAATCTGAGATAGCAGGTTGATAGAAAATATGTTAAAGAGTGCAAATCTACCAAAATCTCAAAATCGCTAAAATTCGAGTTGCTGCGTTTTCTGTTAGGACGGCAGTGCAGCGCATGCGCAAATTATTATTTTTTTCATATTTCATTCTGCGCTTGCGTATCACAGTTGTAGGACGGTTCAGAATCGGTAATAAGAAAAACCCAAAGTAAGCTATTATGTCATTTTTGGCGAAGGAAAGATACAAGGGAAGGATAGTGGGATCAGTGCCTCACATGGGAATCATGAGTGCACTTTATGTCGGATATGACGCCGGAACCGTATGTGTGTTACTATAAAAGTAAATATTCTACCTAATTTTCTCCTTTAATAAATATTTAAATACTTTTTTAACAATATTTTATTTACCTTTTTAATATAAACAACATATCTGCTACTATTTTGGTGGTATTCCAAATTACCTGCATGTTACATCGACAGAGATTTTTTGCACTTTTTTTATGAGTGAAAAAATCCATTTAAATTACTTTAAATACTTTGAAACTTTCGTATGGAATTCAACATATTATGTAGATCTTAGGCACGCTATTTATTTTATTCAAAATAAACCATAATAATTTATTGCATTTTTTTTGTAACTACTATTCCAAAATACCTTCACTTCCTCTACTAATAAGTTTTAAATTATGTCTAGTGTGAAATGAGTGTACTAAACAGTAGTAGTTGTAGTATTAAGGATAGATAACCCTTAGTGCTTCAGTGTTGTTTCGAGACTATAACTAGACGGGTCTAGAATAAAATTAAATGCACTGTATTCCGAAAACACTTACGGCTCAGGTCTAAGTACAGTCTCTTATATCTAAAATTATTAAACCAAACCAAACACAAACTGGTGCTGGATGTGCAATTATTACCAACGGGTCAGCTTTCCAATGGACTTTGAGACATGAAGCATCAGCTTTCTTCACAGAATATTTTGCGATCTGGAAAGCCTTATGTCATCGAAGAATATAATCAAACAAGTTTTTCTTTGTTTCTGACTCTTTAGAGATCGTGTCTAAAATTAATGACATATTTGCCCATGATCCTCTTAAACAAACAATTCAGACGCTTATTCAAGAGTGCAGCGAAAAGGGAAACAAACTCACGTTTGTATGGGTCCCAAGCCATACTAATATACTAGGCAACAATATACAATGGCAGATGGAGCTGCTCAGCAAGCTGCTAGAAGAGATACCATTGATTTCCCTTATATAACTAATGGTGATACTAAACATGATTTTAAAGTACTACTGCATAAAAGAACAGAAAGGAAATGGCAGGATGAGTGGGCAGGTAAACTGTCAAAGCTTCATGCAATAAGACAGGATCCGTCAACCCCATCCTTATAGACATCTTGCACTAGGACGAGCGGATGAATCCAGAATGCATCGTCCTCATATTGGGCATACTGCGGTGACTCATGCATATCTACTTAAAAGAGAAATACCTCCAATGTGCATAGTCTGTGATGTTCTGTTGACAGTAACTCACATTATATGTGAATGTCCTCAATATACGGTAGAAAGAAGTAGATTCGATATACGTGATGAAATGCGGGAAAATTTAACCGAAGAAGAAAAAATTATAAATATATTATGAAAGATATTAATATATACAATCAACTGTGATACTCGCTTATGATGCTCTAATCCAACTGTGATACTGTGATGTAAATAATTATCTATTTTTCTTGTTGTTTGTTTCTGTATCTCTACTTTTTATGTGTTTAGTTTTTTTGATCCTTTGTCGCTCAAGTTGAAATGTTTATGTCAATGTAGATTTTTAAATTTTGAATTGTCCTTGTAAGAGTAATAACAAGTTGTATATGGCTAATGATCCTGGTGATCGATGCATAAGGAAAAAAAATTAAACGCTATTCATAAAAAACTATTTTTATTAGAAATTGTATAATAGTTTTCAGAAGGATTTTAAGAACAATTAACAAAGGCTTTGTCTTATAAATATTCTAATAATTCAACACTGGCAACAAGTACTTACAAAAATATATTTATAAATTACACTAATTACATCAGTCTAAATCACTTATACCAAATGGTTTGTACATGGAGTTTTTCTTTCTAAATGTTCACATTTTTCTAGTCGGTTTTCTTTCCATTACTAAACCCATTAACTTGCTGATGATCACCGCTGGTTAAACTTGCGACACCTTCAGACATGATTTTATAGGATTCGTCGATTAAGTCTTGAATATCATCTTTCCTACGACCACTGGTACGAATTTGAGGAAGAATTTTTATTTTAACATCTCCTGAAACAAAATAGTCATCATGAAGAATAATATGGAATCCAATTTAGAAAGTGATTAAATCTTTATTATGTGATTACTAAATGGTAATTCTTTTTAATGCCGAAAAATTTATAAAAATTAGAAGGCAAATGTAAGAATTATCCCATCAAAAACATAAAATGTAGAAACCACCAAGTCTTGCAACGCAGCTTTTCCACTACCAAAAGTTATATGATCTCATGTAAAATCTAGTCAATTTATTCAGTTAGTGTCTCTAGAAGCTTCTATTCAACAATTTGATACAAAATGTTATCTAGTCAATTACCTATCAACACTTATAATGAACCGTATTGGACATCGTTATTTCTGTAATTATAATGACTTAGCAATTGCATGGCTATACAGTATCAATTAGACTTTACTTTCTAAATAACTATAATAATAAAGTTATAAATTTTTAAAGAAATCTGCTTAAGAAACCGGAAGGTTTAGGTATAGGAACATGATATATCGTTAAAAAGCTATTTTATTTGCCTTTTGGTTTTTTTAAATAATATACATAGTCAGAGTTCGGAGTTCGGCGACTCGATCGGCGACGAGAACGAGCCCTCGTCTCTATGTTGTTGCTATCAGCTCGCATGTTTGGACGGAACGGCGAAGTCCGATCACGAGCGCTTGGTAGTTGACAAGCGCTCGGAGTTCACTAAATGCCATGTGCGGTTGCGGCATAAAATGTACCGGTTATGGTGATTACTATCTTTTTGTTCCCATAAAATCTCTCTTACAAAACTAAATCTATTAATTTTTAGGAATCCATCGTTTTCTACAGCGCGACAGAGCGACGAAAGCAAAATTATTTGAATCAATCTCGCCGCTCGATCTAACCGCTCGAGCAGATCGCTAGGTTCACACGTACTTGTCTTCACAGGTTTGTTTTGGACGCGATGTCGCGCTGCTTACTCGCCGCTATCCTCGTCGCCCCACTATGTTCTCAGCCTAACGTGTCATCGCCGTGATTCACCCATAGATATTACGTGTATTTTTATTGTTAACCAATCTTTAAATATATTTCTTTGAAATAATGGTATAAATATAAAAATAAATATAAACACAATAAAACTGACGTTAGTGCTTACCTGATTCAAATGAGAAGTTTTTCAAAAATTTATACGGCGTTACCACTACTGGTTGAAGAGGAACTTGTGAGGCTAAAGCCAAGTGGAATCCGCCTTTTTTAAATGGCAGCAATTTAGGTTTTCCTAAGTTTCTAGTTCCTTCCGGAAAAATAAGTACCCGAGCCTAATAAAACAAAAAATATTATTTAATATTTCATATTACCAGGACATATTTTTTTAATATATTTTATAAGAAATAGAAAAAAATATATATAAAAATTATTGCTGGACATATTTCCATATCTGAATTCCTATTTGCATACAGATAATATCGTGCAAAGCCGGTATGTATACAGTATGTGCCCGGATTGTCTTTACAATAGGAAAAACATTTCTATTAGGTATTGACATTTTGAAAAAATGCTATCTTCATAAAAATTTTTGCTTGTTCTAAAATGGTTAATCACGTTTGTACTTTTTCGAATTTTCATACCGTTTTAAACAAAATTAAAAATAATGAAATTAGAGTTGATTTTTTTTCTCCTAAGTCCTAAAAATCAACAGTCGTTCCTGTGGTAATATAATTTAGATTTCATTCTTTAATAGATGGTTATTATTAATTTTGATTAACGTTATTATTTTATGATGTTGTTAAAGTATCAAATTTTCCGACAACTTTATCACTCTTTCCGTAGCATTGAACTAAATAAATGTTGTGCTGCTTTTACATTTTAAAACAGAAAAAATTTGACATTAATTAAAATTCTATCAAAGAATGAAAACAAAATTATATTACCATAGAAACGCGTTTTGATTTTTAGGGCGTAAAATTTCAACTATATTTTCATGTTTTTTTTAATATTCTCTTAAACGGTATAGAAATTTGGAAAAGTAGGTATAAACGAGATTAACCATTTTAGAAGAAGCAAAAATTTTTATGAAGAATGCATTTTGCTGAAAATGTCAATAATAAAAAAGTTTTTTTCCTCTTGTAAAAACAATCCGGGGGCATACTGTATATTACGAGTAATAAGTACATTAAAAATGATAAGTAGTAAGCGGGTACATATTTATTATATATTTTCTAAGAAATTAGAAGATTTTTTATGAAAATTGTTGGACACATTTCCACATCTGAATGATTATTTACGTACAAATAATAACTAGCAAAGCCGCAGGTATGTATTAAAAATAAAACGATTATTAATAAAATGGTTAATTGTAAAGTAAAATTCGTATTTGCAATCTATTTAAAAAAATAAATACATAATTGTAAAAAAATTGATAAATTTTTTAAAAATATAGCTTGACATAAAAAATTTGCCTTAAATTTAATAGCAACATCAGTAGTCGTCATATAAATATTTTTGAAAAGGAACGTTCATTTTTCACAAACACTACATAAGTACTTTTTTTCCTAAAAATATCTTTTTAACGTCTTTTGAGAAAGAAAACTGTATTTTAAAAACATAACTTTAAAATTCTAAAATATCTTCATTTTACTCGAAATCCGTTACTGTATGCGACTTACAAAACGATGCATCTTTAATGGAAAAAAATGCGAAATGTTGGATTAAAAATGTGCATACCGTCAACAACAATCAAAAAAGAAATTATTTACAAAATCATCCTTTACCCTTGCAAAAAAACTGCTATGTCTGATCACACATTTTGCTCGATATTACAGCACTTATAAGTTTTATCAATTTTTACATTATTTCTCAAGTTAATAATTAGTGATGGGAAAAACCGATTAATTTCAATAATCGAGTACTCGACTTTCAAGCGATTTCAATAATCGAGTACTCGATTATTGAATCGAGCGAAATATCGCCCGTATTTAAAAATACGGGTTTTCGCTCGTCGCTTGTTGCACTACTAATGCCAAGCAGTAAGTTGCGTGTGCAGAGCACATATTCTTTAAGTGATGAATGGCAAGTAGAAAGCGACGAGCTATTCGCTTGATCGCTTGCTTGATTTAGTTTATTTCAAGGCATTGTCGATGTAGGTCGTAAAATTTTGTCACTCAAATACGCAACGGATAACGTCGTATAAATTTGCTACCTGCAATGTATGTAGAAACTTCGCTCGGCTTTTTATCGAGTATGTCACATTAAAATCGGATTTCAATTTATTTCATTCTAGGATCACGTCAATAACAATGAAAAAAAAATTATTTACAAAATCATCCTTTACCCTTTCAAAAAAAAAACTGCTATGTCTGATCACACATTTTGCTCGATATTACCATTTGATTTATGGGAAATTTTAATGCCAACACTTATAAATTTTATCAATTTTTACATTATTTCTCAAGTTAATAATTAGTGATGGGAAAAACCGATTAATTTCAATAATCGAGTACTCGACTTTCAAGCGATTTCAATAATCGAGTACTCGATTATTGAATCGAGCGAAATATCGCCCGTATTTAAAAATACGGGTTTTCGCCCGTCGCTTGTTGCACCACTAATGCCAAGCAGTAAGTTGCGTGTGCAGAGCACATATTCTTTAGGTGATGAATGGCAAGTAGAAAGTGACGAGCGATTCGCTTGATCGCTTGCTTGATTTAGTTTATTTCAAGGCATTGTCGATGTAGGTCGTAAAATTTTGTCACGCAAATACGCAACGGATAACGTCGTATAAATTTGTTACCTGCAATGTATGTAGAAACTTCGCTCGGCTTTTTATCGAGTATATCACATTAAAATCGGATTTCAATTTATTTCATTCTAGGATCGCTTGCGTTCGTCGCTCGTAACTCGTCACTTGCATCGCTCGTTCAGTATCGAGCAATGTCGGTTATTGCAATAATCGAGTACTCGAGCGAATTTTCACTCGAGTTATCCCATCACTATTAATAATTATATAATTTAAAATATAATTTTTTAATATAAACATTTTTACTATTTAACAATAGAAATAGAAAGATCAGTGACACAATTTAGACTAAAATTTTCATGTTCATATTCCAATGTTTATTTTTTAATACCTCTAATATTTATTAATGCAGTTGCATTATTTTACTATTACCTTTCTTTTTCTAATAATCTCTCCAGTTTTGTTTACTGCCTCCTGAGCATCTTTCGACTTAACTCTGTTGATGTAAATAGTTCCCCATAACCAAGCTGCCAAACCGAAAGGCTGTAAATAGAAGACCTCTTGCTTTGCTATCACAGTACAATTGTCCATAATTGGCCATAGGTATGCCAACACTGAAAAAGAAAAAATATATTGTAGGAACCTCGGTAGGAACAGAACAGATAATTTTATTAAAAGGTATCGTTTTTCTGGGTTAAGTAGAGGTTTTCAAAAATAGTAAATAAGTTTAAATAACCTCGATGTGACTTCCTGTCTAAGCTTGTCAATTTGTTGTTTTCTTTAGCGCTGTTTCTTTGCTGTTCAGGTAGCTCTAAGGCCATAGAAAAGAAGCTGTAAAAGTGTAATTTCAAGATAAGCATTTAAGCACTAAATTTTGCGTATCAGGATTCAGGGTTCTACCCCAGCACTCGCTTGACTTTTTAAGAAATATCACACTGAAGAATATCACATTAGGATTTTTTCAAGTGAGTCATAATAAAACAATATATTTGTTAGTTAATTCGGATGTCACCTATGAAATTCGTATAAGTGAAGAAAATTGAAAGTTTCAAATGACTGGATGCTACAATAAAGTATCCATGTTTATGACCTGTAGTACCCAGGCATTTGAAACTTTCATTTTTTTTCTTCACACTTGCAATCCAGGACCGACAAGTAATGAAAATCAGAATGCTTAACAGCTTTATGGTGGGACAAGCATATCAGCAGTCGAACAAAAAATAGATTGGGGTAAAGGTTAGTTAATCAGTCAAAAATTGCTAAGCGTGCTTCAATCTCTACCTATAAAAAGTAAATTAATTTTGTGTGGCGCCCTAAATATTGACTTTTCCAGTGTGTGTGCAGCTAGGGAGCCTCTCCAGTCCATTTTTCATTCTTTTGGTATACTCATGCATGTTGACTCACCAACTAGAATAACTAAAACTGGCTCTAGTACTATAGACTATGTCCTGTCGTCTTTTGACCCGGAATTCGTTGACTGTAGAGTCCTCGCTCAAATTGGGCCGTATTTTTTCGGATAAAAATTTTCTAAATTTTCACCACCTATGTCTAAAGGTGGGTATTCACTTGCAACAAAACACTCCGAATGAACCAAACACGCCGCGCGCGCTGTAACAAGTTTGTGTAGTCAGTACGTTGCGCCGAACCGAACCGAACGCGCCGAACCGAACCGAACTCGCCAAACATTTTCCGAAGCTTGTCGGTTAACGGGATTTGCTCAAAAGAATTTGTTCCTTGGCCGGTGTTCAGTGAATACGGCAGTTTTGAACGTTCGTTGTGTTTGGGGTGTTTTTAAACTGTACCTAGCTATGAAGTGGAACAGAGAAAAGTGTTTAGAGTTAATTGATGAGTTTAAAAGGCAGCCTATTTTATTAAATTAATAATTAATTATTAAATTAATTAAATTCTTCTTATGCATATAATCTAGGTCACTAAGTAAGGCCATTGACGGCGCTAAAACAACGTCTTGCCCACATTTTTCGTCCTTTCCTTTTTTTCTCTTTTTTGTTACCCGCTAATGCCTCTATAATTAAAAAAGCACCAGCGGCTATGCTAATATCAGATGCATCCTTATCGACAAACACACTAACACTGATTCACACACTGATTACTGGTGGGAACGCAGCGAACACCGCAAACAGGCGGAACGCTCCGCGCAAAATGTTTTGTTGCAGGTCGTTCAGATCGCTCCCGGAAAATGTTTTGTTGCAGATTATTTGGAGTGCGCGGCACGTTTAGTTTGTTCGGAGTGTTTTGTTGCAAGTGAATATGCACCTTAACAACTGAGTGGGTTGTCCTCTCGGCTGACGTCGATTCCCAATTTTCTAGACTTATAAATACCTTGTCTAATTTGGCGTGTAAGGCGTTTCCTCTTAGGCCTATCAAAATTAAGCAAGGTATACCCTGGTCTACGACAGGCTTGCGTATATCTGCAAAGAACATGCGTTCATTATCTCACCTTAAAAAATCCACAGGCAGCGTTTTCTTTCATAATTACGTGAAACTTTATAGAAGGGTTTATTGTAAGACTATAAAAGCTGCCAAGGACATTTATTATAATGGAAGGCTAGCCAAATCCGGTAATGTTGCTAAGGAGACTTGGGCTATTGTAAATGACTTAAGGAATAAGACTTCTTCGCCTGGCACAGTCTTTAATTCACCTGAAGATTTAGACACTTACTTTGTTAATGTGGCTAAAAATTTAGTGAACACCATAACTCCTTCCCATGATTCACTTTCATATCTCCCTAAAACGAATGAGAATTTACACAGTTTCTTCTTCACGCCCGTAGCATTAGATCAGCTCCGTAGTACAATTAAAAGTATTAAAAATAAATCCTCATCTGGGGACTGATGGGCTTACTCTCAAAATGTTCTCTGAACTTCCGGAACGCACGGTAATCTATCTTGCTACTTTAATTAACGAGTCATTTCAAAAAGGAGTTGTTCCAAACTGCCTTAAGACAGCAATAATTATTCCTCTGCATAAAGGATGAGATAAAGATCAAGCTTCGAACTATCGCCCAATTGCTCTCCTGTCAACATTATCTAAGATAATTGAAAAATTGGTTAAAAAAAGGCTTCTATCTTTTCTCCTTAAATATAAAGTACTTTCTACCATCAGTTTGGATTTTTAAGTAACAGTTGCACAAATGATGTTATGTTCGACCTTTTTAATAATGTATACTCTAGCCTGAATAACCATCACTCTACAGCTATAATTTTCTGTGACTTCTGTAAGGCTTTCGACTGTGTAAATCATAATATCTTAATTAACAAATTGCAATACTATGGATTCAGGGGAGTGCCGCTCGAATGGCTTAAGTCATATCTTGGCAACAGAAGGCAGCTTGTGAGGATTGATACGTCTATGTCTTCTTGAAAGCCTATAGAATGTGGTGTCCCTCAGGGTTCAGTACTTGACCATATTTTGTTTCTGGTGTTTATCAACGACATTGCAAATTTAGACATTAGCGGTAAAATCTGCCTCTTTGTGGACGATACTAGTTTCACTTGGAGCGGCCCAAATGTTACGGCACTATATAATACTATATCCAGTGACTTACACACCATTAAATCTTGGTGCGATTCTAATCTCCTATGCCTCAACCTTTCAAAAACTAAAGTGTTGTCATATAAAAGTACATGTCATATAAAAGTATACAACCTTTTGTACTTAATAACACCACTATTGACGTCGTGGACTCTGTGAAATTCTTAGGACTTGTAGACAACTCGTTAAAATGGGACTTGCACATCGAAGCTTTATCAAAGAAACTAAGCGCTGCCGGTTTTGCGCTAAGATCAGTTTCTAAGAAACTTAACTCATCAACCTCTAGAATGGTCTATTATGCCCTTTTTGAGTCGCATCTTCGTTATGCCCTTCCATTTTGGGGTACTTGCTACGCGACAAAATTTGATCGTATTTTCAAACTTCAAAAGAGAGCAGTTCGATACTTATCGGGACTGAACAGTAGAACTCACTGCCAGAATTTCTTTAAAAATTTCAAAATACTGACTCTTCCTTCCTTATTCATTTTTGAATCCGTTTGCTTAATCCGCAAGCACATATCTGCTATTCCGGAAAGGCCTTCTCACAGCTATCCAATTAGGAATGCGGAGCACGATATTTATCTGCCAACCCCGAGCTCGGAACTAGTTAAGGGCTCAATACCAGGAAAATGTACAATCATTTGCCTTTGAATATCAAGTCACTTTCATTCTTTCCCGCATTTCGAAAAGCTCTGAAATCATACTTACTGGAGAGAGCCCTATATGCGGTAAACGACTTTTTTGTTGATGTTTAATCATGAACAATTTTGAATTTTAAAATTTTAATCATCTCACACACTGGTTAAAGGTCTAGTATTTAATATTTAATATTTTATAACTCTTGATTTTATGATATATAACATGATTTTATCCATTTACAATTTTCCTTTTGTAAAGTTTTCTTGATACGCCTGTGTTCTACAATGTCCATGTATGTTTTATTTATAATTTTAATGACGTAAATTTTTTGAATTGATTTGTATTGTATGACATTTTTTATTATTTGTATATTTGTTTTTGTGCTTTTTTGTTTTGTAAATGCTTTGTCGATACAGCTATTTTGGCTTTTTGTACAATAAAGCGTTGTGTACTTATTTATTTAATAGCAGAATCAGGCTTATATTACGGTTGCGAAGCCCAGTACTGAAGAGAAGAATAAATTCAGTGGAACTAGAATACCAAAGGTGGAGCGCGGGAATTTGAAACTAGAAAGGAGATCTGATGAGAAAATAAGACGAATAATGGATGCGAGATGACGTGTTAAATCGAATAGAATGGAAAAAACTTAAATGTTTTGGACATTTACCATGCCAAAATATAGGTAGCCTAGCAGTATTCAATAGACTTTCGAAGCTGATATTGAAAAAATATAGAAATACCTAGGATACCTTATCATGAGGCCATCGGTTGCCTGATGACAACGGGAGGAATAATGTATTTCATAAAGAAGTTATTGCAGAAGGAGACTAAGCAGCAGTAGCTCTAGTTTTAAATTGAAAACTAACTAAATAACTATTATTTATCTTTCCAGTGATTTTTCAGTCTTTTATACAAATAAAATAAATATTATTTTCCAATTTTTAACAGGACCTGCTGGACAGCAAATTAGTGCTACTATGGACTGAAGTACAAGAACATTCGTAGGTATTGAAAAGGTTCAAGAAAACGATAATATTTTGTGCGAAGTTTCGTATCTTTATTGTTGGTCTTCAGAAAATCATACAGACACAAATAAACTTATCACAAACTTATCTATCACACATCACAATGGTATAAATTATCCAAATTTATTTTTATTTATATCGTGCATGTATCCATTCTCTAGAATATTCGCGACTTTGTCGTTGGTGGGGATGCTCCTAGTCAAGTGCTAGAGGGAATACCCTCTCGCACTTTGACTGGATCTAAGGAGCATCTCAATGTCTTGTCCTTGGCTGTAATGTCCTGGTCAAGGAATTACACCAAGTCGTATACCGATGCCGAATAGAATTACCCTCTCCTGTATACCAGGCACTCTCTACTGCCTGTGGTCATGTATCACGAGCAGAGGGTGTGGAGGATC